CAGGTGGAGAGGAGAGAGAGTGGGCTTGAAACAGTATTTGAACAAGTAGTAGCTGAGAATCTTCTGAAAGACACGGCCCCACCATTTGAAGAAAGAGTGATTGCTAAGTAGGACAAATATAAAGAAAACTAATTCTAGCGACATCCTAGAAAAACTGCTGAAATCCTCTCCAGCACATGCTGTCCCCACAAAGGGTCTCCCGAAACCTCCCATGGACAGTGGCGCCCAGGTGGTTGACCCAAGCTGGGGGTGATTTGGGTCTCTGCCCACTTTTTTATTTTTATTTTTAAATATATCTTTATTGATTTCAGAGAGAGGAAAGAAGGGGGAGAGAGAGAGAGAGAAACATCAATGATGAGTCATTGATCGGCTGCAGCCCGCAACTGGGCATGTGCCCTGACCGGGGATCGAACCCTGATCGCCTGGATCGTAGGTCTACACTCAACCGCTGAGCCACGCCCAGCTGGGCTCTGCCCACTTTTTTTTAAAAAAATGTATTTTTATTGATTTCAGAAAGAGAAATAGAAACATCAACGATGAGAGAGTCATTGATCAGCTGCCTCCTGCACGCCCCCGACTGGGGATCGAGCCCACAACCCGGGCATGTGCCCTGATGAGGAATTGAACCACGGTCTCCCGGATCCTAGGTTGATGCTCAACCGCTGAGCCACACTGGCCAGGCTCTCTGCCCACTTTTGATTGTCCAAGGGTTAGGGTGATAAAGTGGCTTGCATTCCGGGTGGGGCAGGCTCCCCACCCAGCAAAGTACAGGATGACCCCCCCACAAAAAGAACTGGCATTCATTCAGGTGGGTGGAAACCTATTAACGATGACCCTAATCTAGAACTTAAGGTGTTTTACAACAAACCACTGCTGTGGACTGAATTGTGTCCCCCCAAATCCATATGTTGAGGCCCAAACCCCTCAGTGTGGCAGCATTTGGACCAAGGAATTATGGTTAAATGAGGTCATAAGGGTGGGGTCCTCATCTGATGGGATTAGTGTCCTTATGTGATGAGATACCAGAGTGAGGACAGAGCCCAGGAGATGAACTCTCACCAGGACCCAATTAACAATATGGGGGATTAAGTGGGGTGACTTGAGCCCTGGGCGCACACCCGTGCTAATTTCGTAGGCCCTCTGTGCACACAGAAGTCAACAACAAGCACATACGCAAACACGGTTCACGGAAGCCCACGGCACCCGATTCCCACTCAGCCAGGGGGTGCCTCCGAGCTCACGGCACATTCCAGAGACGCTCAGAGCGCCTCCCATGCCGTCCTGGGGATTTAGCTTCAAGTGCCTTCCAGCCAAAGGATCCACGTGAACAGGGTGTGCGAGGAGCAGGCCCCGTTTGGGGACAGATGAGTTGTGTAGGTGAGTTAGAATGGGGTAGGTGAGGCTGGGGCTGAGGGAGGGGAGACAAAAAAGGGGGGCTCTGTCCAATGCCTTAAAAAATTGTTGCCTTGCCGGCAATGGCTCAGGGGTTGAGCATCAACCTAGGATCCAGGAGATCGAGGTTCGATTCCGGGTCAGGGCACATGTGAGGGTTTCAGGTTCAATCCCCATCAGGGGGCGTGCAGGAGGCAGCTGATCAATGACTCATCATTGATGTTTCTCTCTCTCTCCCTCTCCCTTCCTCTCTCTGAAATCAATAAAGATATATTTTTAAATTGTCATTTCCATGAAAAGAAACTGTGTGTGAATGTAGGACAAGTAATTTTATTTTGACCCGAGGATGTGCCTGAGAGCAGAGCTCTGAGAAGCCTGAAACAGTGTCTGACTTCGGGAGAGCGAGGGATGCTTGCCTCGGGGGGACAGAGAAACCGAGCTGCGCACAGCGGTCCCCTCGGAAGGCCTTGCTCAGGGACTGCTCCTTGGTTACCCATCAAGTTGGAGCAGCCTACACACCCTTTCCTTCCTCAATCACATAAAGGCCCCCGAATTCCCCCCTCATCCCCAGTTCTCTGTGGCAAATCTATCAGCAGATTTCAGCACATAATTGTCTTTCATTTAAGATAAAGTTGCTGGCTCGATGGGGTTAAAACGAATCGCATCGCCAGAACTGCTTGTGGGGGGGAAAGGCGACGTCTCCCTTCACTAACAGTCAGTTACTGGGGGCACACGAGCCTCAGGGCCTGCTGCGTTTGCAGTCGCTAAGGCCAGTGTGACATCTGTGGCGCGCTGACAGCAACCCATGGCGCCCAGTGGGAAGAAGGTGCCTGTAAAATGGGGCGCAAATCCAGGAGCTGTGCATTTTCGACTTTTCTTCTCAAAGCCCTAGGTTGAGAAATGATGATAGGATTTAAAGACTGCCGAAGCAGAGCTTAGTCACCAGGCAGTGACTAATGCCAGGAAGAACTGCAGGCATTTTTAAAGGGAGTTCAGCCAGGCAGTGAGGCCCGAACAAAAGGCCTGTCAGCACCCTCTAAGCACGGAGGCGGGGCCACGGTCAAAGTACAGGTGCCTGAAACTCAGTTTGTGGCTCCTGCTGGCTGCATTCAGGAACCCAATGTGACCTGCTCCCTAACAGGGAAATGTGCCCACCGCCCACAGAGAAGGGGTACAGCCTTCCCAGGAATAAACGAGCCTCATACCCCCTCGGGCCCCACTGTCAGGACTGGGAGCAAGGGCCTGCCTTGACCCCTCCCTGAAGCCCTGGGCCCATGCCCTCTTGGGCCCCAGGCCAGGCCAGTCCTCATGCCCCCCCCCCCGAGACACCCCTCTTCTGGCGAATGTTCCCAGAGGAAGGTCAGAGGGTACCGCAGTGTGATGAACTCAAAAAGCTGGCCCTTCAAGAGGGACCCCCACTGGAAGTCCCACAAGCCTGTCCTCCTGCTCCTTGGCCAGGCTGCGCAGCTGAAGGCCAGCTGGAAGGCCAGTCTGACTCCTAAGTGGAGTGAGGACAAGGCCTGCATCCTGCCCATCCTTTGTCTGCTCCTGAGCCACCACCCCCCTCAGGTCAGCCTGCCTGAAGCTCTTCCTTCAGAGATCCTTGAATGTCCCCAGGACAAAGTCTAAACCCTCCTCAAGGTCCTCACAGTCCTGACTTAGCCCCACCTCAGTGCCTTTGGCCGTAAGATGCCCCCACCTGTCCTCTAGGCAAACTCCTCTCCTCTTTGGATGAAGAGCCACCATGGCCTGGGGACATGCATGGCATTGGAAGGGGCTGGTCCACAGTGATATGAGCCTTTAGCATGACACACATCCTGGGTTTCACAGATTCACTATAAAAAAAGTCTGCAAAATAGCTTGCTAATAACTTCTAGATTGATTACACGTTGAAATGATATTTGGGGTAAATGAAATGTATTAATAAAATTGATTTCACTTGGCCCTGGATGGTGTGCTAAGTGGTTAGAGGACTGGCCTTCACGCCGTAGGATCTCAGGTTTGATTCCTGGTCAAGGGCACGTACTTGGGTTGCAGGCTTGATCCCTGACCCCAGTCAGGGCCCATGCGGGAGGCAGCCAATCCATATGTCTCTCACATCAATGTTTCTCTCTTTCCCCCTCCTTCCCTTCCACTCTCTCTAAAAAACCAATGGAAAAAATATCCTCAGGTGAGAATTAACAACAAAATTGATCTCACCTGCTTTTTCCTTCACTAAATTTGTGGTTGGGGTTGGTTTTCTGCTGGCAGTGCTGGTTACCTCCATCTCTCAGTGCCTCTCATTCAGGCTGCTGAGCAGACCCTGTTGCCTTTCATGCCTGTGCCCCAGTGCCTGGCACTTCCTGCACAAATGTACCCAAGGAGAGAGCACCCAGGGCACCTTTCTCCAGAGAGTGAGTGGGGGGTGTCAGGAGCGGGTGGGGCTCTCTCATTCCGGCTGCTGGCTGCATGAGGCCTCCGCAGGCAGCTGAGTGTTCTCCACCCTCGGAATCCCCAGCAGGTCACCAGGGAACATTCCAATCAGGGTGTGGACCTGGTGCCCGCAGGGTTTGCTGGCTCCGAAAACAATGCAAGTCCAGTCATTTTTCTGCATTCGTGTTTTTGGGGTTTTTTAAGCAAAAGTATGTTTATTGAAGAGACAAAAGCTCTTGCTGCAGCGAGAGGGGTCCCAAATGGGTAGCCCGGCATTCACGTTTTTAAACAAAACTTTGACTTGGCTTATGTTTCATTTATAGAAAAGTGATATTTGGTTGGGGCATTGGTAAAATAACAAAGTTTATCCCAGGGTTCTGGCCATGCGCCATATAAGCCTGACACGTTGGCCGCCTGACTGCTAACCCCAGGATTTACTGACCTCCGAGGTCCTTGGTGGATCCATAGCCTAGGGACAGAAGTTAGATAATCTGTGTGAAAGAAGAGGCAGAACCTCTGGGGAGAAGATGCCTGTCGGGTCCCATGTCCCCACGGAGTCCAGCTCAGGACTAGGCTAGCCTGTGCTGGGCCTGGGCTGTTCAGGGCCCAGGTCTCAGGGAAAACATGCCTGCACTTCAGGAGGTCCAGCCCTGACACTGGGAGGGGGAGCCGCCCTTCCTGGAGTTGAAAGAAGCCACTCCCGGTACCAGCTTCCTGAGAAAGTTGAGAAGCAGAGTAGAAGCTATCGTGGCAACCAGGCCTTTGCTGAGGCCTGGCCTGGCTCAGCATTCTGGGTCCAACTGCCAGCGCTCCCTGTGCTGGGGTCCCTGTGACCAAGTGGAAAGGTCACAACCCCTGCTGGACCATCCCCAGGGTGATGCTGGGGTCAGGACACATGAATGGTAGGGGTGGGCCTGACTGGGGTCTTCACTGTACCACTGTGCCCTCAGCACCTGGCAGTGGCTGGGGATGAGCTGGCAAGTACACCCAGACCAATGGCACCTCTGCGCTCGTCTTCACAGGCTGAGGCCTGTGCTTTAGGCCTGGCAGCACGTGTCTGCTTCCCCCATCCTAAGGAGACTGGCCCAGCAGCCCCTGGGTGGCTGTGTGAACACCCAAGGGGAGGACAGGTGCCTGAATAGTTTCCAAAGAGGCATATTTTTATGCCCACTGACAGTCAATATCCAATGCAAACCTGAGAGCAAAGACAGATTTTTTATTGAACTTGGCTTTGACGAGTACTGACAAACCCTGCAGACACTGATACAAACTGGTCGTAAACAAACAGTCCTCTTCAGCAGTCAGGTAAATTCAGATAAAACACACAAAACTCAAAAGGTGGACTCAATTTCATATTTTTTTCCAGTGCTAACAACTGCTTTATACTCCTTTGTGCTTTTGGTTCAGTAAAAGTTAGAAAGAACAATACATTGTAAAGCGAGATACCAAATCGTACAGATGATTGTTTTACAAAATACTGTAAGACCACAGCATTGATTTAAATTATTTCTTTTGGACTGCTAAATCCCCGTGGGAACTTTACCTAGAAAATAGCATGCAGCAAGTAGAAAACCAGTATTCTAAATAGTTTCTTTATCTGACACATTCTTGCATGTATATGTTATGAGAATTTTAAAAAATTGGGTTTTTTTTTTCCTCCTTTGTAGCCAAAATTTAGGCATTAAAAATAAGCCACAGTAAACTTACTGGACTTACCCACAAAATGGAGTAAGTTATGACAGATTTAGAGGACAGATGGAATCCAGGACACACTGTCACTTCTGGACCCAAGTTCACAGGCAGGCATTGAGGGAGGTGCATTTACAGGACACCCGCTGGTGCCCCAGAAGAGACATACAGAAGCTACAGAGAGAAGGTCCTGCACTCACCTCAACAAATGAGCTGTTTTTGCCCTAGAACGTCTTGCTAAGACATCCTAACGTGGTTGAGTTATATGGTCCATTTGGCTATAAGACCGATCTTTAAAGCTGAAATAAAAATTGTTAGAAAAATAATTTGACCAATGACAATGATATTTTTAAAAAAATGAAATAAAAAATATTTGACTCCTTAAACCTAATCTTTTCACACATCGGTTTTGGTTCTGAGTGATTTCAGGTATAACATCAAACGCAGCGCACTAAACCCACGCAACCACAACAGAGCCGTCTTGCAGGCAAGACTCATCACAGGGAGGAGCAAACAGCACCTCCCTGTGGCCCCATTGTGACAACACTTTGTTATAGAGCAGGAGAACAGTCCCCTTCCTTCTCAGCAGGGTCTTCATAGGGAAGCCACAGTTTGCAGAAGCACCCCACCCTGGTCAAGTGACTAAGAGAGCTGCGGCCCTAACCACTGACAGGCCAGGGCCCTCAGCTGGGAAGCAGCAAAGGGGAATGGCCCTGGTTTTGGTGAGAACCTGTGGCTCCTGCTTGGGGGCGGGGCTTTCACTTCTAGGAGGCCTGAGATCCCTGAGTGGAGAGTGGGCTGGGGAAGTACTGGGCACCTGAGGCAAAACTGTGCCCCCCAAGTTACATTCCTCCTTTAGGTCTGCAATTTGTTATCATGCAAACTCAAGGGCCTGGGCCCAGGGGCTTTCCTGAGGCGAACACCTGACTTCCGAGTCTGCATATCACCCGACTCCAGCTGGGGCAGACCTGCTTGCCTAAATGAGGTCAAGGATCAGGCATCGCTGCTCCAAGTTGCATTTGTTTCTCCAACTAAAGTCTGCGTGCCTTCCACCCTGGATTCTGTGCAATTAATTAAAATGAGGACTTTATAAAATCTGTAGGTGCATGATTCAGTATTTCTGATATGAGCAGCTATGAACAAATCAACATACACACACAGTTCTGGAAGCTGCTTATGTCTACCTTCCAGCAGGAGTTCGGCTCTCCGGGCACTGCTGCCTCGCCTCTGAAAACTTTTTCATTTAAGATGGGAAAGTGGCTCTTGTGGACACTAGGCGTTGTGGCTGCTGGCGCAAACACTGATGTATAAAGAGCCGCCAGAGCACGATGACTGGGATGATGGATGAGTGTGCTTGGCACCGGCTGGAGTCCACAGAGAGCCGAGGGGTGCTGCTCTCTTGGTGAGGACACTTTGGGCTGGCTGAGAGGTAGGAACACAGGGAAGGACACAGGCCTTGGGCTCTGTTCTCCTGCCCCCACTTGAAGGTTCATCCCCAGCTGAGCACATGTGGAAAATGACTATTGCGGATTCAATTACAAGATCAAAAACTGCCTACCCACAGAGCACGGGAACAAAGCCCTCTGTGCTTTTTTAAAAAAAGACTATTACACAAAAAACCACCGGAAAGTCAGCCCAGCAGGCAGACCCGAGTTCCCCAGCTGTGCACGTGTGGGTAGCTGATGGAGTCCAACTCCAGGTGTCACTGTGCCAGCAGAATCCACTGGTGGTGAAGGTCAACATGCTTTCAGCTCCCACCCTAGGGGAGTCACTGAAGTGACCCACACATGTGGAATCCTGGTGAGCTCCAGTACAAACCATATTTTATCGAAACCTCAACCAAGATGCCCACAGTGGCGCCACAGCTCACACTCGGACCCTCATATATACAATTTATGGGAATTTATAAAACAATAAAAAACACCCCACTTTTTAAAAGTTATAATTTATAGAGTATTCTGTACAAAAGCAGTCTTTACAAAGGGGCTCTGCTACTATCCTAGAAGAAGTCCATAGCCGTTGGCCTTCTCTTTGGGGTGGTGGTCAGTGGCTTCTTGGTCCCCAGTGGGGTGCTGGCAGGGGAACTGGTGGGGGTCTTCAGCACTCCGTGGAGGGGCCTCTGCTCGGGGTTGAAGGCCACTCGGGAGGGGCCTGTGGGACTGACTAAGATGCTCTTGTCTGTCTTCTTGAATTCTGCCCGATGAAAGTGAGGCCACACGTTAATGGGTATGATTTCTCTGTCCTGCCAACCCGCCGAGTGGGTGTCCAGGGCACTGACTCCCAGCAGCCCTGGAGAGAACTGGCCCTCAGGGCTTTCTGACTAAATGAAAGTAACTAGCAAGAATGAATTTACTCTCCAAAGAAAAAGTGCTGAGGGCCACCTGGAGGGACCCTGAGGGGAGCACCAGGAGGGAAGGGGTTTCTGGGACAGGGATAATTAGTGATAGGAGGAGCCCCTCCTTCTGGGCTTTATTCCACTGCCTCTAGCTGTAAAGATGGGGGGGCTGCCCAGGTCTCTACTGATAGCTGCTCCTCTGCGTGCATGTGTTCATGTACATGCACATGTGTACACAGACACACAGTTAGTTACTTGTCCCTAAAAAGAGCCAGGTCTAAAACTGATACTTTTGAAACCACTGGTTTCCTTTGGGATAAAATACCACAGATGAATCACACCTATGCTAAAAGCTGAAAGACAAGATGCCCCCCTGTTTCCCTCCTCTCAGATAGGATGGTCCTGAAGTTAGGTAGAGGCAGTTACAGCTGACAGGCTTACATTAAGTCTCAGGCAACACGACCAACGTACTCTGGGCAGGTGGGCCGGCCCCAAAGCACCTCCTACCAGGTTGTCCTTCTAAAGGCCCCAGAAAATCTGCCCATCCCCCGCCTCCCGGGCTCAGCCAAGGACTGCTCTGCCCCTGAACAGGTAAGGGCCCTCCTCCCCAGGTCCCTGGGAGCGCACCAGGACAGCACGCAAACCCCACACTCACCCGCAGTCATGTTTCTGTTCAATCCAAAGGTGACCTTCTTGGAGCTGGACGGTGTTTTGTTGAGCTGAAGAAAGAAAACCATAACGGAGTAATAGGAGCACAAAGGGCCGAGACACCTTGTCTGTCTGAGTCGCTGAGCACTCACAGGTGCCCGCCAGACCACGGAGCACACACCACGCACACCCAGGCCCAGGTCTCATACAGCACTTTCGCAGGTGCACATGACAGACCTAGGAGGTGGCCGTGCTAGCACCACTCTGCAGTCACCTGCCTCATCACTCCCGCCTCTGCCTTCCCGGGAAGGCAGCAGAGCAAAATGACCACATTTGAAACCTACTAAGTTTCAGGAAAAAGCTCAACAATGAAAAATTATAAGGCGCTCCCATTCACTGTATCTGAGTTTAAGTTCTAACTTGGAAATGAAACTGATTAGAGTACAACTACAATGGGATCAAACTTTGGGGGGCAATGGGCTCACATTTCCTAACCTTTTGTGCATAGGACCCCAAATTGATTTGAATGTTCTAACAATTCATCAGAATTAACTGGTTGTTTCCTATTGGAAACATTTCCAGAAGCTGACCCATTTTGCGTTATGAAGTACTTCCCTCAAATTCCTTCCTAGAACTCTGTATTTTTGTGTGAATCCCCCAGTTCTACCTCATACCACTTGGTGTTAACATTTCCATTTTATGGGAGGAACTGGCTTCTATAAGCCCAGAGTCATTTACAAATATCCTGAAAGTATCTTATGCATAAAAACTAACATAGGCAGTGATCACTGCTGGTTCAAGGCTATTTAAACAGTAACTACTTCTTTCTCAGAAAGTCCACCTATCATGGGTCCCCAGCAGGGCCAGCTGAGGCACCAGTCTCCACAGCTCCACCAAGACCTTCATCTCCTGTAATCCCCGACGAGCCTCCCATCTTCTAGTGGCACCTGGCAGAGGCGACTCTTTCCTTCATGGCCCCGCACTGGGCTTCCCAGAACAGTGCCCACCCTCACCCACCAAGACTGGGGACAGCACTGGCTCCTTCTACCAGCCTGAACACCCGCCAGTGTCCTTGGCAGGCGCCCCTCTCCTCCGATTTGTAAATCTGGGGCTCTCCGGAGTCTCCTTCTGCCCCTTCACTTCAGGTTTCTCTAGATCTCCCCTATTCCCACGAGTTCTAAGACAAGGCACCTCTGATTAATCCCTGAAGGTTGGCCCCAGACCAACACGGCCCCCTGAAGCCCCAGCACAGCCTGCACAGCAGATCTGGGCTCCTGGAACAGGAACCCTGTGCACCATGGACAGCAGCAGAGGCCACGCAGCCCCAGGCCTGGCACGCACAGCCCCTTGTGGTGCGGTCGCAGCGTGCTTACCTGCATAGCAGGGGTCACAGAGGCGGCCATGCCGCTCTTCGTTTTTCTGCAGAACAGGGGCTTTGGGAGGAAGGGACTGTCAAACTTCACAAAGTCCTTCTCAGTCCTCAGCTTCTTCTTCTTCGAAGGGCTGAAAGCCCCATGGCTCCCCTGCGTGAGGGAGGCGCGAGGAGGGAGGTCACACCCGGAGTCAACCGTGCCATACCCACACACAGGAAGCGAAGGCAGGATGCCGGGGTGCAGACACAACGGGCTCAGACATACTACACCCCATTCTTTCTGGAACCAGATCTGCAAACACCTTTTTTTTGCTCAGAGCACAGATTTTGTGAACAAAACGACCACTTCTGCACAATGGCACCAGGCCAGCAGGGCCAAAGGTTTCCTATCGTCTCAGCGACAAGAACCATTTTTATTTGTCTTCAAACTTAGGGCCCATGTTTTGAAGATTTCTGCCTTTCAAAGACCACCCACAGTCACGCGCAGCTTAATGATGGGGACATGTTCTGAGAAACGTGTTGTTAGGTGATTCTGTCGTGTGAACGTCACCGAGGCACCGAGATGCACCTGAACAGTGATAGCCCCCTGCACATCCGGGCTCTGCGGTACAGCCTACGCTCCCAGCTACAAGCTGTGCAGCACGTTACTACACTAAAAGCTGTAGGCGACTGTAACACAGTGGTAGGCACTTGTGTATCTAAACATAGAAAAGGTACAGTGAAAACACAGAGTAAATGCCTGGCCGGCATGATCAGCGGTTGAGCATTGACCTATGATCCAGGAGACTGTGGTTCGATTCCCGGTCAGGACACATGCCCAGACTGCGGGCTCGATCCCCAGTTGGGGGCGTGCAGGAGGCAGCCGATCAGTGATGGCTCTCATCATTGATGTTTCTATCTTTCTTTCCCTCTCCCTTCCTCTCTCTGAAATCAATAAAGACATTAAAAAAACACCTCCAAAACCCACAGAGTAAAATGACATAGGGCCCTGTGTAGGACATGTTCCACAACTGGAGCCTGCAGGATGGAAGGTGTGCTGGGTGAGTGGTGAGAAGGTGAGGAGGTTACTGCACACGCCTGCAGACTGTAACACAGAACACTTCGGAAACAGTAAATTTATAAAAGTTTTCTTTCTTCACTAAACTAACCTTAGCTTACCGTAGGTCCACTGAGGGCAGATAAAGCACGTTCACTGGATGCTCTGCAACAAACCACCACCCACAGCAAAGGCCCCGCACTAGTTCTGGGATCCCAAGGATCTGGGAAACCCAATGTGGTCGATGTCACACTGATACTGGCTTTGTCAAGTCCTTGGTGACCTTCGCTTGAAAGTCTGCTGCCCTGCCGATCAGTGACTCTCTAATCATTGATATTTCTCTCTCTCTCCCTCTCCTTTCCTCTTTCTGAAATCAATAAAGATTTAAAAAAGAAAAAAAAAGAAAGTCTGCTGCCTTCCCTGAGCAGCCATGAGGGGGCAGATCCAGGGGTCCTCTCTCATGCACCTTCCCACCCGCTGGCAGAGACATAGAGACCCATCACCCCCTTTGGGAGGAAAACCCTCTAATAACTATGTGTCTTATTTAGCAACTGCTCCAATCCTCTGAGAGAAGGTGCAGGGGCCTGAGAAATGAGATAAGAAGGAATTTTCTGATATTCTCAGTGAAGAAAGTGCATCACATGAATAGTAAGTGAAGGGCGGAGGCTGCAGAGCCAAGGGAAGGTGACACAGCTCACCAGGGGAAGGTCTAGGAATACAGCAGACTTCCTGAAGTCCAGGTGAATGTTGTTTTCCCCAGCTAAAGCTTTTTACTGACTTGAAACCAACTCACCTAAAACTCATTGTTAGAAAGGCCTTGATGTCACAGTAGTGCGTACACAAGTGCTGGACAGGGGTCAGAAAGCCTGTCTGTAAAGGGCTTTGAGGCCATAAGGTGCCTGTCATCCCTGCTCTCAAGGAGTGAAAGCAGCCACAAAAATGTGCACGATAGGGTGTGGCTGTGCGCCAACAAATTATGTTTGCCGACCACGGGCACAGATGCACCACGTGTCCAGAATGAGGGTGTGAAAAGAGAATCCAGAGCCAGGTTCTCATTCATACCTGGCTTTAGAGATCCAAGCGGAAAGTCTTTTCATTAAAAAGACAGGCAAAATAGAGGATTTTGGGCCCAGGACTGGCAGTGAGTTGAAGAAAAACAAGACCAGCATCTGATAGAGGCACTCATCTGCCTGTTTACCATGCAGGGCAGCGTGGTGGGGGTAGGGATGGGGGTGGAGTAAGGAGGATGGTGACTATCTCGGCCACCATAACCAGTCATCCCTTTCCTGTTGGTAAAGGGTGTCATGAACCATGACAACTCCTTAGTCCAGGTCTGACCTGTCCCCCACCCCCTAAGTTGAAGCACCAGGAGGCAGGGGCCCCCAATCTTTCAGCATGGAAGCCTTGGACGCCCTGCCCGGAACCCACATGCCTTACCAGGGCCTGGACGAGCTTGAGTTCCGATTCCAATGCTCTGCCAGGTTCAGTCAAGTTCAACATCTCTTTCATTTTCTTCTTTTTGAAGATGGCAGTTTTCTGAGTGGACAGGTTGTAGGGGTCAGGATGGCTGGGATCCCCCTTCTTTTTTTTCAGTCTCGTGCCCTGGGGCAGCGTGGCTAGGCATCCCTCACCCTCGCTGGCTGCTGCGCTTGCTGCAGGGCCTTCCTCCCGGGGCGGGGGCCAGGCCAGCGCCGGCGGGCTGCCGTTGGCCAGGGGAGCTCTGACTTTCCGCTTCCTCTTCAGGGCTGGGGCCCCGTTGGCTGCGGAAGCTTGGGGGACAGGCACGAGAGCACAACCAGTGCCAGGGCCACCTTGACAAAGGTGGTCCAGAGGTGACGCCGCTGACTCTGAGAGCAGTCCCTGGAGCCCTGGAATCTTCTTCCTGGGCCGTTTCCTCCTGCTGTGTGTGGGAGGGCTTGAGGGGGGGAGCTCTGCTCCGCTCTGACCCTGGGGGCGGGGAGAGACCCCTGCTGCCAGCTCCACGCCTGGCCCTGCCTCTGGTGGGCTGCCCCCATTCTGTCCCGAAGGCATGGCTTTGAGTCCTGCCCCTAACTGTTCAGGCTGAAGGTGGCTCCTCTTCTTCCTTTTCCTCTTGTGACCACCGCCTTTACTCTCCTCCCCAGCAAGAAAGAGCCTGGCTCCTAGGAAGACATAAGCCAATAACCGGGTGCCCAGCACCAAGTGGATGGCAGGTCTCGCAGGGGATTCTGGGGCCATGCGAGTGGCCAACAGAGTCCTCTGGGGATGTCTTCCCACCAGAAAGGCTTTGATCCTCGGTGCCCTTGAGCTCCAGTAGGTCTCCCCCTTGGTCCCATTTCCTCCCTTGCCCTTTAATATAAGTAGAACTGAAATATACTCAGATTTGCTACTAATTTTCAGACCAAAGGTAAAAGCCACAGCCCCAGGGTGGTAATAAAACACATGCCCCACAGCCCAGCGTGTGTCCAGCAGGTCCACATCCCCACCCAGCCTCTCCTAAGAGGGCCCCGGGAGTGAGTGAGCGCTTTCATTTAGGAAACGGGTGCCCTGAAAAAACCAAGCACTCAGAAGCAATCTTTACTTTTCAGCCATTAAAGCAAAAGCTTCTGTTCTGTAATGATTTATGATGACAGTGGCCCAGAGGTTCCCAGGACTGCAAAGGTGCCCACTGTCCCCAAGGGCTGCCCTTCTCTTCTCAGGCCTCGCTGGTCCCAAGCCTTTACCTCACCTTTCCTTTTTTCCACGTCGGTTTTCTCTAAAAGTTTATTCCCTTTTTTCTTATGCCTTCCTTGACTGAGGGTCCGGTCATCTTCGTCAGCAGAAATGTCCTCAGCAAAACTGAGTTGAGATATACTGCCTGTTGGACACCAAAGTCACATCTAGTCAGCTTTCTGAGGCCCTCACAGCTGTACCCAGGGGCCCGAGAGCCATGCCCCCCCCGGGTCATGCACGTAGATCTTTAACCTCTGTTTCTGCCACCTCCTCACTACTTCTCCAATCCAAACCCCAAAGCTACTAACACAGGAACTTCAGACCTGAAACAACTCATGGCAAGGACTATAAACCCTGGGTGACATCCTCTCCAGATCATGCGAACCAGTCTGAACACCCACTTCTAAGCACCCTAGGGGCCCAAGGGGTGGGGGCTGTGGGCCATCAGTTCGCACAAATATAACCAAGTTTATGGATGACAGCTCTTCCCCAGGGGACAACTGACCTTAACAGTCAACAAAAGGGACCCCAAGAGAGAGACCAACTGTTCTTCATAAAGGGTCCAACTGAAAACTATGTGGACCAACAAAATCCCTTCTTGTTAAAATAACACCCCACCCTGCCCTGAGACAGGTACAGCCTTGTGTCTGGCTCAGCTTGGTCCCTGGAATGGAAGAGTGGGTGGGCAAGATTAAAAAAAAGCCCAACAAAAAAACCACACCCCACCTGAAAACAAAAACAAAAAGCAGAAACAAACAAACAACTCTCCCAAAATTAACAAAAAATTCCTCCATGTGGTTCTTCTCAGGGTTTCTCTCAGCTGAGCAGCAAGTGGGCAACCTTTCAAAGATAAGGCTACTACTATTCCTGTTCTCAATCTTGCTTTTTGCCATTTCGCCTAATTGCTCAGTACGGTCCATATTTAGGTAAGAATATCAGTTCTAATCCTCTGGCTTCCTCACCTTCAGAGAGATCTTGGAATCTGAAAGAGAAAACAACAGAAGTTCATAAAGAACCCCCTTCTTTCTGTCTCCTATAAACATATGCGCATGACTTAAAAACATGACATTTGTGATTCACTTTTTTTTCCTCAGAAGGGGAGGTGAGAGAGACGTGTGAGGTAAAGGCCTAAAACGAAGGGCAAGACAACCCTCAGTTCTCTTGTTTCTTAGCTCCCTGAGGCTGAAACAGCTTAGAACCTGCCTCTACTCAGCTCTCTGTTTTAACACAAAGGAAGTGTGCAGGGCTGTGTGGACTCGGGGCAGAGCCTGGGGAGTGGACAGGGGGTCTGAGTCCAGCTGTGCCTGACACACACGACCTTGGGCAAGCCGGTAACTTCCCTGAGTTAACCATGTAAGGGTGAGGAAATCACAGAAGCCAGCTCATGGGGCTTTATTTAGCATGAAATAATTTAAGTGATAGCATAGCGCCTGCTCACATGGTGTGGGAGTGTAATTAAACTCAGCTGCTGTATGATATCCATCATAATGCGCCAAAGGGCTCTGCAGTGAATTATTGGTACAGCCATACAACATCAATGACAACTACAGCATAACCATAGTGGGGAGGGTGGAGTAAAAGCTACTCCCCCACCCAGCTCAACAGTGCACCAACAGGTAACACTGCAGCGGTACATTCACACTGTAATTTCTCAATCTACTAATCTTAGGTGTCATCAATAGACTTCTCTTTACATCATGACGAAACAGCTAAAAGAGTATGGCTGCATTTGCAGAATGGAATAGGAGGGAGGCAGGCAGGTGGCTGTGGTCATTAAACACTGCAGTTCATGTGTGTACATATGTGCAACCAATGGAAATGTAAGTGTGGCAATGGCTTGCTCTGTGCCAGGAAAATAATGGAAGGGCTGGGCTTGAATGTGAATGAGAACCAAGTGACCCCCTCTCATCCAGCCACTTACTTCTTGATCAGTCTGGAGAGACGTTTCCTATTGAAGGGAGGGATGTTCTTCCTGTTGGTTATTTCCAGGAGTCGGTCAGCAACAGCCTTATAGTCAAACTATGTGAGAAGGAAAACTAACATAAACCCACAGTAACCCGACTTGGAAATGTACACCCGCCAGTGACAGGACAGGCATGGTGTGGGCCTCTGGAAGCACTCAGGGCCCGTCTGTACAAGCATGTGCTACGACTGGGCAACCAAAGGCTTAAGCAAGATCTGAAACATTCCTATTTCTTTTTGGAAGAAGCTAAGCTGTAAATCTTTTTCCTTTTGTAAAAAAACCCCAAAACTGGTAAAAACACTACATAAAATTTACTTGGGTGTATAATTCCTTGTAAATCTAATCTAGATGCACAATTTGTACTTGAAAACATAGTAAAATAAACTTTATTTGAAAAGTAGCACTGAGCTGACTTGGCTGAATGGAACAGAACAGATCTGAGCAATTCAAGCTAAAGTGAAGACTGCCGTCTTTCAAAGTTCCACCATCTTAAATTTCTTTGTCTCCAATAAGCTAATTATATGGAAGAAGACATTAGTGACTGAAGTGATGAAAAGGACTTTACACATTAGGCCTTCGAGTTTAATTAGCTCTGACTCTAATTCCCAATTAGCCAGGCCATCCACAGTAAATCTATTTTCTATAAAAAACAACAACTGCCACCAACCTGGAGAAGTGGCCCAGTGTCCTCCATGCTTCCGCCATTGTTTCTCTCACCTTCATCACTGAATCCATCTTTTCTGGAGTGATTTTTGCCCAGTGCTATCAAAACACACCAAAGACAAAATCCTTCAATTACACAGCAACGACTACTTCCGAAGGAGCCACCATCTAATTAGGTGTCTCTTAGTAAAAAGAACATTTCTTTAAAGAGGAAAAACCCTGCAAATACATTTATAATTTGCCAAGGATGTTTTGGTTTTTTAGCTGCTGGGCATGAAAAACATCTGGAAGCAATAGCAAATTCTGTCTTTTAAATCCATTAGACAAGCCTCCACAGCCCTCAATGCTGCCCAGCACACATGGTCTCCCTGTCAGCAGCAGGGGACGGGAAGCTGCCGGGTCAGGGGCTCAGGCACAGAGTGGCTCTGGCCTGTGAGGGGGAGTGCCGACTCAGGAGCCTGTCCCTAATTTTAGGTAGCTTTGGGCTGTAGTAAAAATCTGTATAGTGGTACACTAACTTCGTGGGGCTGCCTCAGGAAACACAAGTTAATATATCAATACAAATTTTAACATTTAATAACTAATTCAAAAAGCACTAAAGCCCATGAAAAAGCAGATAAAAATTACTAATGAAAACTCAACTTTTCAAACTTCTGCCATTTCTGGATTCCTAGGAGCTCATGAGTGGCGGGCCTCAGGGCACAGCCAGAGAACACAGAGCAGGCCCACACAGTGCAGGTGCCCATGAAGAGTGAGACGCCTCTAGTTTAGACAGAAACGTGGCGAGTGGGGGGACCCAGGGACAACTGCCATGGCCATACTGAATTTGCTCAGGACATCTAGTTAACTTGTCACCTATGTGGAATTTAAAATTAAAATGTTTCTTCTTTTCATTTTTTTTACTGATTAAAAAATAATATACAGTTAATGTAGAAAACCTAGAAAAACAGACAAAAGTACAAAGCAAACAAAAGTCACTCATAGCTCTGCCACCCAGGGCTAACTATGAGCATTTTGATATACATCCTCCCAGATTATTTTAGGTACATGCAAATGATAAAACAAACCAGGCTCCTTCCACAGTTTTGTGTCTTGCTTTCAAAATCACGATTACATTTCTTCTGGTCACTGGTTTTTGAAAACCCTACTTTTCAATGGCTTTGTAACCTTTCAAAGGTGCAGGGATGTCCCGACCATTTACTACAGCTGTGCGCCCAGACGCCGTGAGCCACCATCAGTTCTGATGGGCCACAACCTTAATACACTCTCTCTACATGACTGCACAGACATAAAACAGTAGTAAGAAGGGTTTGAGTCCACAGTGGGTATTTAAACACCCTGAGAAAACCCCAAAGCAATAGCAACAACACGGATAAAACCTTGGGAGAACGTCCGCCACCCTGGGAGATACAGAATCGTGAGGCACAGGGCCTTCCCCAGATGACCCTGCATGGGCACAGGGGTGAAATGCTCATCTGCTTCCTTTCTCAGGTGGTGTCCAAGGCAACGCCCATCACCTTTGGTAAACTCTAGGCTATAGTCAGTGAGATCTCAACAAATGTATAAAAAAGTGTTTGTTTGATGAGGACTTTACCTAAAAAGAGAGAGACTATTCAAGGCAAGTCTCTTACCTGTCTTCTTTTTACTGAATGTTTTTCTCCACACCATCTCGTTTTCAGTTCTCTCTTCTTCAGAGAGGCCACTGTCACCCACTGTAGTTTTCTGTTCCTCTGTTGTCTCTTCAGGTACAAAAGGAGACTGATCTACAATGACTTCAAAAACACCCCTAGCTATAGTCTGCACCAATGTATGGCTGAGGGGGAAGCACAGCAAAGAGGATGTGATTAAAACAAATGGTCTGGACCTTGTCATCTGGAGGACAGAGGGATGAGAAGTAGCCTACCCAGGACCCGGTGTGACCGACCAGCAGCTCGGCAAGCACCTGTGTTCCCAACTACACTTCTGTACTAAGCACCGGTGGCCGCAAGGAGCCCGCCAAAGGCTCTGTGCCGGAAGCAGTGGGATCGGCAGCGGACTGAACTTTGGGTCGGGGAGGGTGTGATTTGGAATGACTGGGGTCCAACAGCAAAGCTAGAAGAGCCGAATTATGACTCAAAACTTCAAACATCCTGCCAATGGGAATCAAGCATTCGGCTGTTCTTAGCTCTGGACAACCATCCCAGGTACCTCACATCATGCTCCACAACAAAAACAATCCCCTCCCCACCAAATTAAGCACCAACTGAAGAAAAAGAAACACATGAATTACTTACTCCTTAGTCTTGGCAGCAATTTTGCAGAATGGATCAATGAACTTGAGATTCTGATCTGCCAAAAGCTGTAATTTAGAAGTAAAATAGGAAGAAATAAAAATAAGGAGGGAAAGAGTCTTTTCTCCTTTCTGACATGTCCTTGAAAAAGGAACCACTGTTCTCTCACATGGGTTGGATCAGACTGAGTGATGCTCATCTCACGATGCTCCAGTGCACTGTGCACGCATCATCAGGTGCCCAGTGCCAGGCTAAAGGCCACAGCTGTGCTCCAGCCTCTCGGGCATCTCAGCACCATGAGCGAAGAAGAGCACCCAGTCTGACCAGTGCTGCCCCACACTTCCTCCTCTACGGAGCAGCTCTATATGGACACCATCAGAGACTGAGATGAGGGATTCTTTTTAATACAACATGTACGCTTTCCTTAATAAAAAAATCTGTCCACTGCAGAACACTTGTGAAAGAAAAAAGTAAAAACTGCTCACAATCCCAAGTTCAGACAATCACCTGCGTGCTAAAGCATGTTCCCTTGCCACGCCTTTGCTCACATATGAATGTTCACTAAACAAGCCAGAGCTTTGTCTGCGGTCTTTCTCTCCTGCTGCTTTTTAAGAACTCAGTTTCCTGAGTATTTCCTCGTGTCACCCAATTCCTTACTGGACTGTGCAGGTGCTTTCAGTCCTGTTTCCTAAATGAGATCCATGTCCATCTTTAGTGCATGAATTGAGCCCACATGTCCCATTAGCTGCTTAGGACACATTCTTAGATGGGGAAAAAATGTGTCAAAAGACGGGCTGAACCGATTCACTCTGTCACTGGTATGGCACAGTGTCATAACCGCACTCCATTCCCAGCTCATGGAGCATCTGAAGAGGAGTCAAAGCCCTGTTCAGGTTGGCTGTGGTCTCACCACACTGCTGGCAGGTGTCGGACTGTTTCTTACCTCTTTCCCTCCCACTTTGGACAGTTCATCCAGATAAATATCAATGAAGTGGAATTTTACTCCATTGGGAGACTGGCTCTCAGGGTGCAGGACTTCCTTCATCAAGACATCGAGAAAAAGCTTGATTCGGCTAAAGAAAACAACACATACGGGTCTATCAACTATAGTGCACCAACACCTCTGCCCCCAGAGAAGACGTAATATTCAGGCTCATGCTATACTGCACAGAAGCCATGAGAGGTTTGAGAAAGTTTTACCAGGGAAAAAGCAACTACTGAAATCAGTATAAAAAGCTGACTGCATGTATACTCAACTCTTTCATATTCCTCTGCTGAGTTTTAAGTTCTTTATGCGAAAGGGGTTTTGCCTCTCATAGCGCACAACAGAGTGGAAGACACAGATCAGGCAATTCATACTCGGCGATTAACTGAAAGGCCTCAAAAACACGCTATTACCTTAGAAGTTTTCAGACCACCAAATGCTAACCCAAACAGTTTACCAACCTTTCTTCCCAGCCATTCCGCTTCAGAACCTCAAAGGACTCCCTCAGGACCAGGCGGATCAGCTAAAGACAGACAACTTGTGTTACAAAAGGAAATAAGAATGATCGATCAGCTTAGTAGAGTGAGGCTAATGACACAGGTATAGCCTGGATCTCCAAATGAAAAGATATCCACAGTGATCATGTTTACTTCTGGGTCATAAAATGCTAACTAAAGATCTCCAAACTAGTCCCTAACAGCTGAAAGGGACAAAACAGAGGCCTCCTGCCCAGCCGGGTGTGGCTCAGTGGTTGAGCATTGACCCAGGAACCAAGCAGTCGTGGTTCGATTCCTGGTCAGGGCACATGCTCGGGGTTGCAGGCTCGATCCCCAGTAGGGGGGGTGCAGGAGGCAGCCAATTGATGATGATGTTTCTCTCATCGATGTTTCTATTTCTCTATCCCTCTCCCTTCCTCTTTCTCTAAAAATCAGTAAAACATATTTAAAAACAAAACAAAAACCAGAGAGGCCTCTGAGTGCAGTTTCCAAGGCTGTCTAATGCCACACTGCCTATCATCTCAGTAAGCCTAGAACTTAACTTTGCTTCACAATCAAACCTCCCCACTGTTCTTCAGATGCTGAATGTCGTCTCCTCCCTCACACGCGCCTTTGCAGTGACGGGACGAAGGCCTGCAGATCTCACCATGTAGTACTTGTCCAGGCGCAGCCTGTCGATCCCCTTCCACTCTCGGTTCATGGTTTGCCAGAAGGTCTGAATGAAGAGGTGCTCTGCAGTGAACAGAAAGCTCTGAATGCTTGGTTTTAGGGTTAACAGATTACCAGACAGCACAAAAATAGTGAAGAGAAACAAACTAGGATTATTCATTATTTACTTTTTTCAAGAATTCTTAGGTTGCTAGAAAATTTTGTCAATCATTAAATATGCTCAAAGCTTTCTTCTACATTTAAGTAAAAGCACGTTATAGTAACAGGAGGGCTGGTAATATCTTAGTGCCTAACTACAATGCTCTCTGGAGTATTTTTCTTTATCCACTAAGAGGCATGTTTCTACATTAAAAGATTTTCTGAGCCATATCTACTGGTCCTTCCCACCCACCTATACCTAACAATCCAAAGATAGCCCTATTGATAGACACTTGGGCGACTCATATAGAAACTCAGCTTTTTGTTTCTTGTTCAGTTCCAGCTGGGTGCACTATAACGAAACATTCTAATTTTCTCTTCTGAGCCATGAAACTAGCACTTTTTTGTTCAAAAAACTTTTTGACTTTTTGCTTCACTTCTTTTTGCACACATCTTTCTTGATACATGAAAGATTTCATGTACTATATTCCATGTGTAGAACTTTGTTCGTTATATGTCAGCTAGGGCTCTGCTAAAGTTCAGAGAACCACTGAGGGCTCTGAAGGCCATTGGGATAGTTTCATTCTCAGGAGTGGGGAGCCGAACAAACTCATTCTGCTGTCTCTCATCCTCTGTAAGTAATCAAAGTCTGAACATCCCAGAAATGTCTCCCCCATTTACTCTTTTTGATAAGGGAGGCTACTTTACAGTTTATCACCAGTGACAACCTCAAAAGGCTCTAGGTTTGAAGATAAACCTGGCAACCAGAGGTTACTACACACACTGGCATATGCAGAGACAGCTTCTAGGAGTGTTAAAGTAACTCAGAATTTGGAGAACCTGAAGGATTAGTATTTAAAATATTTTTGGGAAATCTTTGAGATGTCCAGTATGATATCCACAAGGCACATCCTTCATAGTCAACATCTAAGTTTATCCTAGTTTCCTCCCATGGGAACAGTTTTTCACCTGACATCTACACACTGGAAGCCCCAGCTTCATGGTAAATTAGACCACTGGGAAATGGAAACGTGGAAGGAAGGAGAAGAAAGAATATGGACTTGTTATCCTAGGCAAGTTATCAAATCTGAAAAACAAGGCTGTTCTGAAAGTCACGGAAACATTAGGACTTACGCGCCTCTGAGTTGTTAACAGCATGGATGAGCTGGGAAATCGTGTTTGCTAGCTCCTCCTGCAAAGGCGGGTTGGGGAAAACATCGGGGTTATTATGTGGCAACACTGAGATGACAGCACCATGGCCGGCACCTCCTTCCACACCTTTGGGGTAGGTGGGTGAGTGGGAATCTGTTAACTGTTTCCAATGTCACTTCCACTAAGAAGTGTGTATGTGGATATCTGAATTTTATCAAATGCGAAACCCCCAATTTCAATGGAATATTGTGCCAACTCCATATACTTCTGAGGTCTGCTTAAGCTGCATGCATAAAAAAGTATCTCTAGTTATCTGTTCAAATGACCTACAGAAGAAATAAATTAGCTGTCAATTCCTGGCTTTAAAAATAGATTAAAACTTAAATTGAGATTTTTATCCTAATCCCCTAGTAATGGAAACACAGATGCCCCATTGGGGGAGTAGCTGCAGTTAGACCCCAGGGCTCTCACTTCAGGAGCTCAGTGTGTGGAATCAGAAAATCCCACCTTGGCTGCTCAGAGACAGGCTCCAGCAAGCGGCAAGGTGGTGGGAAGCACAGAGAACAGCACTCTCCCAGGCTCTGTCCTGGGCAAAAGTGCCACGGGAAGCGCAAGTCCTACTCAGAGGCAGCAAGCTTGTTTGCAGAGAATTTGCTGGTCTCGTTTATGGGGCACCTGCTTGGGGAGCATCAACAAAGGAATTCTGTTTGAGTTTTGTAAGAAAAGACAGATCCCCATATTACCTGTATCTCCCTGGTCTCAGGTCTCCCTCACCCATTTCAAGTGACTCCCGGACCTGAAAGTGATGCTCTTGTCACATTCTCTTTCTGCACTAAAGCTGTTGGCTGTTACTTGTGAATGTAATTTAAAAATATTTGCCTTGCTCTACTACTCAAAATGTGCTCAGAGGAGTAAAGGCAATAATCAGAGTGAGTTACTGCATGGCTTGGGGGATGTGGCCAAGTTGTGTGCCTTGAAACCTAGACAAGTAAAATCTACCCGTGTTTTCCATTAGAGGGTTTGAATGGCACTTCAAGGCTTATCCCTCCACTTGGCTTTTACACATCGAATCAAGCTCTTCAAACAGTGAAAACCATTTTTCTAAATGGTGGTAGTGCTGCTGGTGGGGTGCCCAGCGTGCTCGGCGGATGGGGCCAGATGCACGTGCACATCTGTGTAAGTCCCTGCTAACTTTACAGGTAGGGCATCAGGTGGGGCTACTAATGGTTCTACGCAGACCCTGACCCCAGTGAGGTGGCTGCCCAGTCTGGGTGCCCACTTAAACTGGGGCAGAGGTCGGTCTGCAGCCAGGGCCGCTCACAGGTTCTAGACTAGTGCCATGACATTTTTGACCACAAACAAGAGAAAACAAACTTTAAAATAAGGTAAAACCTACCATGGAACTATGAAACCGTGGCAGAGAAGTAATAAATCTTTAATTTATGTGTATTCTTTATTATCTGAAAAGGTATTAACCTCAACACTTGGACACTGCATCCCTTTTTGAGGGATAAGAGATGACAGAGAATCCCTCAAGCAATGCTTTTCAGTTCGTTTGGCACCTTAGGGGACTGACCAGCAAGTTTCTCTTATCCCTCTAGCCAAAGACCCAGTGATATGACAAAGGGAAGTGTGTTACCTGCAGAAGGGGTTCGTCCTGCACCCACATGCAATAGAAGAGCCCTTTCCATATTTTTAGAAGTTCTTCTTGACTGAAGCCTCCTAGAGGGCAAAACAGCACAAGAATCTTATTTCAGAGCCTCACAATTCCCTTCTTAAAGTTTAGAACTGTTACACAAGCAGTGAGAATAACACCGCATACATTTTCATCTGCAAAGGTCTTTTTTTATTTGAAGCATACACTTCCTCACTGTTACTAAACAAACATATAAATTTTGCAGTTTTATGAGTAGGATGGTAGCAGTGGTGTGTCCTCATTACCCGAGTAATGTAAGGAAGCAAATGGAATCACAACAAAAAATTAATGGAGTGCCCATTTATAAAATGAGCTCCCCTAAATGCCCCTCTGCTTCAACTAGCATCTCACTCGGCACACCAACACTTTCGTTGGTCTTGCAAAGTAAAAATGCAAATCCTACAAAAGATGCAGGATTTGCTCAAGTCCCGTACAACTGGTCCCAGGGAAACTGGCAAAGCTTTGGGATCTTTTTGCTAAGATGACCCTTCTAAGGTTCCTGCTTTGAGATCACATTTGGCTGTATCCCGATCTCCCTCTTCCCAGCTATGGTTTTCATTTACTGGGCGATTTCAGCCTTGTTCTCATTATTTAAGCCCTCTACTTCCACCTGCACCACCCACGACAAAGCCACAAGACAAGCAGTCTTCTATCTGCTGGATTGACCCCAGGTGTCAGGAATAACTGCTAAGTGACATAAGAAATTATAAAATCAGGAAAATGTACATTCTTGGAGTTTCCAAGCCTGTAGAGAATAAACAGAACCCTCAAGTCTTAATGCATCTTACACATGGTCTTTAGTAATTTCACTAACAGGTACTAGGAAGTCTTTTGGAGCAGCAAACGATGATTGGGTAAATGTAAACAAGTATATATCTGGGATCAATGTGATCTCAATACTCCAAAAGGTAATTACCAAGTGACCAGCATCCTTTTGATGGAATGAAGTTTAATTAGTGCATTCAGAGTGAGCTTTATACTGTTATGGGTAAAGTTACTAAAGACTTTTCTTACATCAAAAATTTTATTACAGTCCATTTTGACTCTGTGATGTTCTCACTTAAAACTAATATACCAGAAACCATAGTAAAATTAGTTTATTAAAGTGCATTTCCTTTAGAGGTTGGGCAAGTGACATGTCAATTGTTTTCATCTTCTCATGTTATAAACAAGCCACACCTGGGGGTCTGCCTATCGAGAACACAGTACAACCATGGTGTGAGTGATAAATTCCACAGAACCAAGCCAACTGCAGCCCTGATCGTAGTAACGTTGCCATAGGTACCTGTGCTTACATTTATTCATGTTAAGACTACTGAACTAGCCCAGCTGGGAGTGGCTCAGCAGTTGAGCATCAACCTAGGATCCAGGAGATCACAGTTCAATTCCTGGTCAGGGCACATGCACAGGTTGTGGGCTTGATCCCCAGTCAGGGGCATGCAGGAGGCAGCTGATCAATGACGACTCCTCATCATTGATGTTTCTATCTCTTTCTCTCCCTCTCCTTTCCTCTCTCTGAAATCAATAAAGATATATTTATATATATATAAAAAAAAGACTACTGAACTAGTGGATCTGGGCAAGGATCACCAATGGCTGCTAAAATGTTAGATTGAAAATTACTTAGAAACTTTCAAATGGATAAATCAGACCAACAACACACACACCCACTGGTCCATCTCAACTCACAAAGATCAGCAACTATTCATTCGATGCTGGATATGGTGCAATAGGGAGAAAACAGCACCATCTGCTAAGTAATTTCACAAAACCGAAAAGGCTGTTGTGGGGGTTCAGAATGAGTCACCTGAGATGTGCTTCTGTGATATGTGGATTATTCTGAGCTGAAGGCAACCGAGACCCTGCAGGCTCAAGGGAAACTCTTACCTCTCCCTTAACGAATTTAAATTAGGGGCCTGGCCCATAAGACATCACCAGAAATAACTTTTTTTTTTTTAACCCATCTATAAGGCAGGACAAACTACTAATTACTGACATCTGCTCTTCTTACTGTTCTACAATGACCCTCCTCCCCTCTGAAGCCCCAGGTGCCTTACCTCATCCTTAGCTCAGAATGTCACATATCACTCATTTTAACTTTGTCTCTGACTCTCTCTTGTATGCAGGGTTTCTGACTCTCTAATGTATGTGGGGTCCCCGTATGAACATATGTAATGAAATTTGGTTCTTTTCTCATTAATCTGTCGCACTTTGACTTAATTAGACCAGCTCGAAGAACACTGAAGGGTAGAGGAAAAGTTTCTTCCTTCCCCACACTAACCTACATCTCGTCGGATCTAAGTATTAATATCAGTTTGCAGGAAATGCAGGGGACAGAGAAACATGTCAAATGAGACTATGGGATACAGAGGGCAAAACCCTAAATGTGGGAAACTCTACAAGACAAATGACCCAGTTCCTCCAACAAGTAAACTGCAAAGGTAAATAAGATGGATAAAAACAGAACTGAAGAGTCTGAGCAGACTATCAACCAAATGCAATGGGTGGGTCTTGTCTGAATTATGATTGCTCATAAAAAAATTATGAAATGATGGGAAAAACTCAACAGCTTGAATATTAAGAAATTTTTTTTAATAAAAAGGTGTGAGAACGGTACTGTGGTTATGTTACAGAGTCCCTATCTTTTACAGATACATACTGAGTACCTGGAAATGAAATGAGACCTCTGGGATTTGTCTAAGGATTTAGTGGGAAGGAGGAAGTGGGCAGATCAGACAAACCCGCCAGGCACTGATAAAGGCTAAAGCTGACTAGATCAGAAAGTTTCCTTAACAAAAGGAAAAAACAAACCCAAACTACACATTACCGAAGTGTTATTGTGGGCTCTTGTCTTCTTGTTTAGAAAATTCTTCATAATGCAATTAGAAATGCATGAACACTGCTGAACAGGATTTAAGCGACACTGGTTTCTGCATGAGGTTTGGTATTGGGCATTGTTTTTTGCTGAGCAGTTACATCTTTCCCCCCTTCAGGGCTGTCACTATGAAGGCAGGGCCTGTGGAAGGAGGCAGTGGTCTGGGCTGGATTGGTCCACATGGCGGCAAATCAGGGAGGTGAGCTTATGCTAGCCAAATCAGCATGAATTCTCTTGGCCACAGGGCTGGTTCAAGAATGGATCCCCTCACAGATAAAGATCCCCTTGCTCAGGCTTTAGGAAAATCTCCAGTTCTCTCCCAGACTTGGAGAGAAGACACAGTTTGGACCTGCGCTCAGAAACCTTGCCACATGATGGGGAACCTGTCTGAGAATGAAACCAATCTGGCGATAGCAGTTTGCTGTCGAGAAAAACTGGTGACCTTAGTTGAGCTCTGAGTAAAGCTGTGTTTCTGGCCCCCCCCCCCACTTAAAACTAGGGTAGCTTTAAAATTTTGTCTAGTTGCAATCAAGAGAGTCTTAACCAATCAAAACATATTTTCATGACAAAAAATTAATATACTATTATCAAGTTACACAATCAAAAGTACTTGATCACCGCCTCCTCAACCCCAGTCTCCTCCCAGGGGGATCACTGTTATCTGCTGATGTGTATCTTTCCAGATGCACTCCCTATGCATTTACTTACATGTGATACAGAAATGCACAGTTGTGTGTGTGTGACCTAAATAGCATCACGTGTTTCGCGTATTCTGTATTCTGGCCCTTTTCACTTAAAAATAGCACATTGTATATCTCCAGATGGCTCTTTCAAGTGCAACAAGATGTCCAACTAACTCTAAGCGATAATCTGTCTCTTTGGACAACCCATAATGGCAATGGGCAAAGTTGTGCCAGATGCTTCTGTAATTGAAAACAGATTTCAACAAAATAACTATGACGAGCAGATCCTGGACAGTGGGCAGGAAAGGAGCTGGATGTGAAAGCGTATTTTGATTTGTTTCATCCTACGTGAGGCAACCAAGTACAGTGGAAACCAACCCTTGGTGAGGCTTCAGCTTGCTACTTACTACTAGCAGTGCAGTGTTACAGACCTGTCGCTAACAGCTGGCCCGTTTCCTCGCCTGCAATATATGTAATGTTTATGGTTCAGGACAAAATTAAGAGCAAGTGTGAGAAGCACTTTGTTAAAAGCAAAGCACTGTCCAATGTGTGGGTATTATGAGTGTCTCATGTTCTCTACCCACAAGCTGTTGAAGCTCTTCTCCTGTTTAAAATACCTATTTTCAACATAAGTATGAAAACCACTTGTTTTCACCCAGGAATTTAGCTGGTAAAAACAAGGTACTGACTTTTGAAGCATTTAAAGCAAAACAGAGAAAAGTTGATTATTTACTTTCTTTCAAAACCACAAAGGTGAAGTACATGTCCAAAGCAGTTTCCTTCTGTAACTGCTTCTTGACCTGTCTCTTCTTTCAGGGGTGGAGTCTCTTAAACTTAACACTACTAAGTTTCTGACATTACAGGCTTAGTTAGTTTCAAACAACTGAGGGGAAATGAAAGTGAGACATGGACGTAAAAAATACCAAGCCTTGAAATGAGAAAATCCAACAGCCTCTCTCACCATGAACGAGCACAGGAGCCATTTTGGGTGGTCAAGTGTTGTACTGGAACCCATGTCTGTGTCAGAATAGGCACAGCTCCTGGTCCTCACCACCACTGGGTCGAGAGACACCCCCCCCAACACTGTCAGTATGAAAAAACTTATTTCCCCCACAAATATAATACCCACCAACTGTAACATGTACTGTCACTTTATGTGCCACCAAAAAAGGGGCAAGAATGCAAATTAAAGTTGCAGAATTGATAAAACAGGCAGGGGTTTTTGTCTGTTTTGTTCATGGTTGTATTACCAGTACCAAGAACAGTGTACATAGTAATAAAACCACACAGTAGGCACTCCATTCATGTTTACTACATACAAGAATGAACAAATAAGGACAACTGAGCCCTAATGAGTAACTCTACAATAGTGATCACCTTATGACTGGGAATACTCAATACCAACACTTAGAGCACTAGGGCAACATTTAGTTGCTTCAAGCAGTATAAGGATTTCTAATTTGTCTTTAAAATCACAAAGCTATGCTGCTGGGGAGAGTTACATGTATCTGTAAGAGTGAAATCTCAGATTTTCTTTACTATGCCTCAGACAACATACCAAAAAACTTGAGTCTGTCAATGGGGTTCAAATGTCAGGCCAAGTTATTTCCAGACTTGTTTCTATTTTGACGGAGCACAGCTGTGGCAAAGACCCTGTTTATTTTGTCCCACCATCACTGTCTATGACACTCACTTCGCAGTTAGTTTTTTGAAGGCCCACTATACTCTGTGCAATGTGGATATAGTGTTGAACAAAAGGTACCAGGCAAGTAGCTCTAGGTGTGATGGGCGCCAACCCTGGGACACTGGTATAAACCCACTGCCTCATGCCCCTGCCTCAGCATTTCAGATCCCAGACCCGCTCAGGGTTTGAGCAACAGGTTCTTTCTGGCCGTCTCAGCCCCATAAGCATTGCATCTGGCCTTTCTTCTGTTCTTGTATACAGCCAGGCCCTTGTATGCCTGGATGTGCTCCCACTTCCAGTTCAGAAAACAGATGGAAGCTTACAGTGTTTTGGGGGAAGTGACACATTAACAGATAATTAAGAAGCAATGTAGCTAAGTGCTACAATAGAGACAAACTGGGTATTTCAGAATCCTAGAGGAGTGGGGGTGAGAAGATAAGAAAAGTGATAATGAATACTGGGAGTGGAACAAGGGTGGGAATCTTTTCAGCGTGCACAGGAGAAACAAAGGCAGAGAGGTGAGAAATAGGATATCGTACACCAGGACCCAAGAATGGTCTGCTGTTGATGGAGCAGGAAGCAGTCATGTAGGGGATGAAGTGGAAAGAAAAGGGAAGGACAGATGATCTGCAGACCTGTAATTCCAGGAAGGCAGAGGTGTGATTAGAGCTGTTTTAGGAAGATGACTCTGAGCTGGTTTATGGAGAATGGGTTTAAGGGGGCACAAATGGGAGTCAAGATCAGTTAGAAAACAACCAAGTATAAAAACCTAGGTGAGATAAAGAAGATGGAACAGAAAAGGGTAATTCAGGAGATGAACCAGGCAGGACCAAGTGACACTGAATGCGGGGGTGGGGGAAGAGGGGGTTGGAGAGAATGAGGGAGAGAGGAGTCCAGGGCAATAATCCTGTATGCAGCTAGAGTCTGAGTGGATGGTGGGAACAAAATAAGGAAGCACAGGTGGCAGATGGGCAGCAGAAGAGAACAGGTTTTGGGGGGGAAGAAAATGAGTCATTTTTAGGCATTCTGAGTCTGAGATGCCTCTCAGATATCCGGGTGGAGATGCCAGGTTAGTAGGACATAGATGAGCTGAAAGTAACAAAGGTCTGGGCTAGAAATTTAGGTTTAAGAGTAAATTAAATCTGTCAGAGAGATCCTAGCAAAACTGAAGTCAGAAATTTTGGTCTTCACTCCTCTTTCTAGCACACTTCCCATAAAGTTTTATTTTCTTTTTTCCAGGTGGCCTTTTGTGATTTCTAAATAAAACAAGCTGACATCAGTACAGGGGGAGGTGATATCTATTCTTTCAAGTAGACTCTAAGTGTGCTGGTAAATAAACCAAACTTTATTTTACTGCAAGAGAAAACCTCCATTTCGTGATGTAGTTCACACCTCAGGGAGCAGAAGGGTGTACAGAACATAGTTTGCATCAGGTAAACGAAATCCTTCAATGGCACCCACTGCAGTTAAAAACCCAACTACAACTCCCAATGTGATCCGGCCTCACCCTCCCTGATTTACTGGTCTCTTCCAGCCGCCGCTCGGGCATGCTCCGCTCTTCCTCCCGCCTCTGTTCGGACATCACCCCAGAGTGGCCTTCCAGGACCAAGCCTATCTACATAGCGGAGGCGCTCCCTCCTCCCCCCGATCTCCATTTCCGTTACTACACTATAAAAACTCTGCTTTAGTGATCTTCCCGCCCCAGCTTTAGGAGCACAAGTTCCTCTAGCGTAGGGCTGTAACCCCAGCTCCTAAAGGTACTGGTCTAAGAATGGCGTGAATCAATGAAAAGCACAGCAGGATAAGTCAGGCTGATCCTCGTAATTTAAGGTACAGGCTCGGTGCCGGACAGACTGGGTCTATTCTCAGCTTCCTCGCTCCCTGTGACTTTCAGCAGACTCCCTAACCCTCGTCGGCCTCTGTCCCTCAAACGTAAAACCAGACTAGACCCAGCAGGAAGCACTTCACACGAACACACAGAAGCACGCGGCAGGAGTGCGAGTCCGCGCTCCGCCCGCGGCCCGGCCGCCATGTGGCGCCGCTGCCCGCCGGGCGCCCACCTGTCTCCCTCTGCGTCTTCACGCTGATGTACTGGCGCAGCTTCTTCACTGCCCGGTCCCGGATGCCTTTCTCGTGGGACGCCAGG